CTGTCGCATAACAGATCCCACCATCAGGACGAAAACAGTACTGAACGACTGCCCTAAACACACGACTTCCCAACTTTTACTATGATTTAATATTTTAACAGGATACCGTGAAATTCTCCGCGTTGGTACTGTTTTAATATAACAACAAAACAAAATCGCAGTCCAGATGTTTGCTAGATTACAGAAACGGGGGATTGAACGATCCACAATTAAGACGCCGTAATGATCCTGAAATAATTGGTCGTGTTCTGTGAATATGTGCAGAAGTGCTATCCGTTTGCATTGGCACTGCTTCCTAACTGTGCACCTCACTTTTACTAGTCTCCTTCCTGACATATTTTGCCAAATATTAAAAATTACATTGAATTAGGCCTTTCCGTGTTTTTTTTTTAGCTAATTGGCAAAATACTTTCAGCAACTCATGCCCCGAGGCACTACCTGTTTAGTTAGGTTCGGCACGCATGGATTTCGTACTTGTAATAAAAGCCAGCATTCGAGTTATACGAGGGTGCTCAGCACGAAGACCATCACTAATTACTTATTCACAAGATTTTCAATCAAACGATCATAAGATTAGGGAAGTTTCCACTTTTGGCATCTAAAGCACTTTGTTCCATTACTTCCACGACAGTAACCAAGGACGACAACGCAACAACGCAGGTCCATTATTATTAACCACTGACCCGAATTTATCGAGTTTCCAATAATTTGAGTGTTTAGCCAAGCGGCGTTGAAAACCTCCAGGGATTTCGGCCAGTCGGTGATCAGGAAAAAATTAATGCATGAACGCTTGTGACTTCTGTAATCCATTTAAATTGAATCACAAGGCTGCGAGACTTTGTCCAATTGAAAAACTACGTGAATTACGTCAATTAATGAAGCTGGGCGTAAGGCTCAGGGGGTGTAGCAGGACGCCAGCAATGACTCGCTGGAGAGTAGACGTGGCGGCCGCAAGGTGACTTACATATTTCGAATAACTGAAGTGACCCAGGTGTTTACTCAAGGTAAACAAAACTGACCTTTGCTTTTTTAATCCTCTGTAAGCCAACGCGGCCTTGAGCACTTTAAAAATATCGTTTGTCAATGTGATTCGCAGATTGTAGTCCGCCGTGGGCTGACGAACGCTTGAACTCAGCCCCTATTCTTACGCTTTAGAAATAATGAAGAAAGCTGGAAGTTAACGTAATTACGGAACTTGACCAAAGCAGACTTCAGCAGGTTGTTTAAGGATTAGTAAAATCCCCTTCGGGAGCTCCTGATCTCCTAGCAAAACACGTGAGCCAATGAATTGTGCATCTTTGTGTGATGAAAAATCAATTTTCAAGTTCACAGTTCTTTTACTTAAATTAAAAAAAGTCGCTTTGTAACATGCATTACTACTCTTTTTTTTTTTCAGGAAAGAAATATTAATCAATTTCACTCAGTTCAGCGGCATATTTGTGTAGAGGCGGATTTTGTTGCCTAATTTACTAAAGGCTTAATTTTTTGGACCTTTTGGAACACAAAAATTTCAGACTCGCTTGTGGTTTCCCATATGCCCGCCCAGAAAACCAGAGTGAGAAAGTTTGCCCAAAAATTAGATAAACGAAGTGACTTTTGTGGCAGTGTACAACCAAGGATGAAAATTAAATTTATTGGTGCCACTTAGAATTTAATTCAGTCGCTTTCGCTGAAGGAATCAAACTGACTACGAAGTCCCAAAAGCGGAAGGTTGATTAAGAAAAGTGTGTGCTACAAGTTGCCTTCACGATAAAAGAATCAAGAGTTACAAAATCAGTGTGAATTTGAGGTGGGAAAGCGAGAAGCAAACTTGGCCTAAAGACCACGAAAGGATCTGAACAACTCTGTTTAACTTCTAAACACTGATTATAAGGGCAGTTTAATAAAAATTTTGCTTGATGTATATTGAAAACATCTCCGGTCCCAAAATGAGAACAAAATGTAAAGGAACTCAAGTTTGGGCGACTTCATTAAAAACGCGTTTATTTTTATAAAAAAAAACCATGCACATCGGATTTCCTTCTGGGGAGGTTGCAGAGAGAGAAATATCGCTCCCACAGCTGTGGTGATTTCGACATGGTTACTGTAATAGATGCCTGTAGTGCTTGAGCATAACCTAGAGTACAAATGTGTCAAGGTGTGATAACTAGTGGAGATAAAACTGAATGCAAAATCTGCAAAGCCCTATTTTTAAAGAACTGTTGTCACAAATGCTTTTGCAATTTCCAGATTTTCAAATTTTCAACCCCACCAGGCTGCCACTAACTATCCTTTGCATTTTAAATGAAAAACATTCAAAGGAGATCGTTTATAAGCTGTAAATAGGCGTGGTCAAAAGCTAATGGAGAGAGCAGGGAGCGTGCTTATCAACAAGTGTCGCGATAAACACATCCTGAAGGGCCGGATTCCAGTTTCCAAAGTTCCTATTCCTTCTAGTTTCTGGTAAAAGCAAGTATTCTAACCCCGCGCATTTATGACAACAGCTTAAAACACTAACTTTTTTTCAATGCCTTACAAACACACACGAAAAGACCTACTCTTGTATCAAGGAAAACGGATTTGACAACCTCTCGATGTACCATGCTAACTGGGTTCAGCCATTGTGTTGAATCACTTCTCCTAGGTTCCAAAGCAACTGCATCCACTGCTAACCTTAATAGAATTTTTGACAGCAAAAACTGGGCCAACTTAGGGGATGAGGAAAGGAGCATCTAAGTCCCAGAACCATGGCTGCGCCTTTTGATATGCCACTGTAATCAATTGTCTCGGCATCTCAGGAAAGCACTATTTCGCTCTACATTAAGTAACGATTATGTTCTGCATCTTAGCAGATGTAATGTAAATGGAGATTTTTGCTCAGCACGCCTTATTTTGACGAAGTCATAAATCATTAGGTTCATGCTAAAGTAATGACAACTTAAAAGGTTTTTAGCGACAAGTGACAGATCTTGAGCAAATTTATTTTTCACTTTTTACAGAATTTAAGATTACCTGTTAGGTTCATAACTCTACCCGTTAATTGTTTGCGACTGGGCACTTACCATCTTAGCTGTTGCGGAAATCGCAATTAGAAAATGGACCTCACTGACGGGAAACAAAACAAGCTGACAAAGTTCTTTCCTCTCTTATCTTCATTAAACAGAATAATTTGAGTCAAGAACAGCCGCCTAGGAGGGAAGGTAAACCAGCTTTGATCCTTTGCGGACATTCCGGCCGGTCAGTAGTCGAGAGCACGTGGAAGCCGTGACAACGGAGTGTCTGGCACAGTAATCACAGAAAAAAAACACATTCGCCTGATCTCCAAGTTTTATTTATTAAAAACCAAATCCGTGACCTCAGTGTGACCTTAAGGAGCATATCTAAAGTAAGCTTGCGACTTTTTCTGTAAAAAAACGTTTACTGACACAGCTCTTTTATTAATCCGAGTAAAGTGCAAGTTACTATAAATTATTTCCTGTGTCAAGTACCACGGAAAATATTTGGTCTGCCAGGGGGCTGTTGAAGTAGTAAGCTTGGCTCAACAAAGACAAACGCCAGGTTTTTTTCCTAGGCTCTTTTCAAACTAAACGACCCGCAAAAAGAGGTGTGTAAGCAACAATAAAAATAATGAGGTGGGCCAAATAACCAAAAAAAGCTTTTCACCGATAAGAGAAATTCATTGGCATGTGAGCAACCAACAAAGTCTAAATCTAACTCGTTTATAAATGAAAATAATGCAGTAGTTACACAACAGGACATCAGTAAAGTGAGTCATAACGGGAAGTGGTCGGTCCTTAAGAACTGGGGCAACTATACTAAAACCAGAGATAAAACTGATTAAAGATGGAATGATAATATAGCCTCTGAACCGCCAGTGGGGTAGAGCATTAAGGGCATTGGGAAGAATAAAAGGTTCAAGTATAAATGGGAATGTGGATGCAGAGTGTCGCGGAATGGAAGAGGTTGTGTGAAGACGAAAAATGACAGATTATGTTCTCTCGGGGAAATACGGAATGAATAACATACTATACAGGCTCGTTGATAAAAGATAGAATAAATTCCTAGCCATTAACATAGTCTGTGTCTTCTGTGCAAAGTGAAGTCTTTGCATAGAGTGGATTTTCACTTGAATCAACGCTGTCGAACACTACAAAAGAACGCAGTAACGTGGGCAAAAAGAAATGAAAACTTCGGAGTAATCGGAAATGCTAGAAAACGCACTTAGAGTCTCTATAACAAATCTAAGTTGTCACTTCACTTGTTGCTTAGAGATTTGTTTGTTTAGTAATTGTTTACCACACTAATTGACAGCAAGTGACTACCAACACTTTTAATTTGGTGGCATCGTGTTTGAAGCAACGCAAACATTGATCTGCGGTACAATGATAAGTCATTTGGATCACAAGTCAAAATTGAACAGCCGTCATTTTAGCTGCTCATCGTTTGGTAATGAATGTTTCATATACACACACCCACGGGTGAGCATAGCAACTCTTCACATGTACCTTTTACTTTCCAACGCAAATGTACCGATTGACCAAGGGCTAGTTTTAGGCAATATTGAGTAAAATTTTGCCACTTCCACCCATCAAGTAACGACGACACATCGGTAAATCAGGCGACCTTCAGCGAAGGTGCACTAACCTTGTGAGGCATCGGAGTAACTCGACCAGTGCATTGTTGCGATATTGTCGAATTTCAAGTTTTTAATTAATACGCTACAACCAATAAGTGCGCCCTCAATTTGATGTCTAAAGATCTAATAACCGAGTGGTTAGAACAGGTTTCGAGAAGATAGCTCATAAACCTGCCTCGAAGTATCGCAGGCCTCAAAGCAAACACCTTAAATGGGAGAGAAGAACGCACTACTAATCGCCGAATAAAAGATCACATGTTTCTGGAGGCGTTGGATGTGCTCGATGTTATTTGGCCCTGAGGAGGAGGAGGAAGGTGAGTAAACGAATTTTAGCGCTATTTGGTATTTAAAGGCATTTTAGTTAAACACTTGGTGGCGGACCGAGTCAGGAGGAGCCAGCGGCGCTCACGTACCCGGAGTCGCGCAAAGCAGCTTTAGGGGGACCTGCCGCCTGCCTGTCGTTGAACGCGGGTGGTTCAGGCTTGAATTTGACAATCCGTCGTTTGCGCTCGTAAATTAAGATGAATGCTGTCAAAACAATGAGCTCAACCCCGATGCCGAGGAGGGGCCAAAAAGTGGATTTCGCGCCTAAAACAAAGAAAAACGCTCACACAAATGCGTTCGCTTCAAGTACAGTAAAGGCTGCAGACTAAATGCGAAACAAAGAGAACGCCACGATTTCACGAGCCGATTCATCTCTGTCGATATTCCGTTTATCGTAAATGTGTTAGAAGTTGAGTTCATCGGCAAACTCATAATGCAGTGTAAGTGTGTTTAGGCAGAGCTCACACATTCAAGGATCTGAAATTCATTTCACATGCCCTCGAACTTAGTAAAGGTAAGGCTTGCTTGATGCAAATGCTACTTATAGTCTATTAGGCATTTCGCATCATTTGAAATAACAGAATGACTTTCAATGTAAGGTCAAATGGCGGATGCGCATACAAGTGTTTTTGAGAATTTTGCCTGATTTGTCAGCATTGATTATTTATCGGATAAATCAGGTTTCACAGAGGAACGGAAAAAAATCCTACTTTTGACTCGAACGAAGACGCCGCAGCTATTGTTACCGACGGTCGTTTTTACAGAGCACACATAGACGGCGCGATCAACAGCTTCCAGATGGGAGAACGAGAGAGTGTCATGGTGGCTGTGGACAGAAAGTAGATGCACACGACCTTCAGGATCGTAGGTGGGCGAAGCAGCTAACCGCCCAGTCAAGGGATCCTCCACCCAGAGTGGCTGGTTATTGCGCTGCCAAGTTATGTCACCAGTCTGAGCGCGTGGGTAGGCAATGATCTCGCAGGTAAGATTGTAGGCATTGCCCTCATACACTGTCTCCGCGCTTGGACGCAGCACCAATATGGGTGTAACTACAAGGTTAGAAAGTGTCGGCGTAGATTCATGAATTAAAGTGGATTAAATTCATGCAAATTAAAAAGGAAACATGACATTCAGGAAACAGATGGAATCTAAAATACGTTTCCCACAATCGGGCTGCCATTTGATTCTTCACCATTTTTAACTCATTTCATTGACAACAATTTGTGACGATGATAAATACCTCAGCAAATTCAAAATTCCTCAGACACTTGTTAAAATTAAAAATTTTTTTAGGATGAGAATTTGGTCTTCTTTTTTACGCTCTTGAGAAGACCGACAAAGTCATCGACACAATGGTTGGAAGGGAATCTTCATTCATGCATTAGACAGCAAGGAATATACCAGGTGAAGTAAATTCTTCAGAGTTGTTTTCAAAAACCATGAATCCACTTATGAATTAACCTAAATTGCTAAGTGTAAAGCTGCAAAAACCAAAGATATGTAAAAAAGTAAGTAGCAAACACCTGCGATAATCACAGTGGTGAGATATTTTTCATCTCATAACCTAGCATGGCAATTTATACTGATTTGGGAAGAGAAAATAAAAAAGGAGTAAATTGTCGCTTTTCTACATCAGCACTTTATAGATAAAAAAAGGCTCAAATATCTGTTTAATCGGTCATTCTGAAATAGAGCTACGAAGGCTAAAGGCAAATTTGAACCTACTTCTGAAAAACACTTCTTGTTTTACTGATGATCCAGGCAGTATGTTGAAGGAACATTCGTAAGGCCCAAACAACTCCTGGCGCACGGACTTTGCTAAAGGGAAAGCGGAAGATAAATGCACAATGCGAGCCAAGTGGATGGGACGCTTTGTGAGCATTCTGAAAAATAAATCTCCTCGAGATAATACTTAGTTTTAATTTAAATCACTTTGGCATCACGTTTTGCACATTCTCTCACTGAATTCTTGGAAAAGGACTTCATCGTTTAGCTAAATCTCTTTCATTCAAAACTTAAATACAAATTGGTTTGGTGAAATGTAAGTATTTCTTCCGTCAAATCGAGCCCAAATTCTTCACTTGCTTTCTCAATCAACTTGAGAAAACATCTAGGTTTTTCAAACTATCTAGTATTAAGTTTTAAATAAATATAAAATTTTTCTTCATAGGACACAGTGATGCACAACTACCCTGAACACACGAGTTCTGTCAACTTCAGTGATTTATGCAACAGAAACCGGCTAACCATTTAACTGGGTGATCACGTATGAACGTTTTGCTGTAAACCAGACGAAAAATACGTAGTTATATGTGGCAATTCTGTACACTATAAACAATACTTCCCAACGCATTAAGTATGTAGACACGAATAAAAGCAAAAATAAGCACGGAATATAACTCTTATAGAACTAGTTAATGAAGGCTGTAGTTAAACAACAGTGAAGTAATGTGTGTTCATTTTATACGATTGTATGACAAAAAGCCAGATTTTGAAAATTTTAAATAATTGACTACTGTAGATTTACAAATATAAAAAACGCAATAAATAGTGAAATAAAGATAAATTAGTCACAAATTACATTAAAAAACTAGACAAAAATTGACAGTATTTGCTAAGTTGACGACTAAATAGTTTGCCCTCAAAATTGTAGCCCAAAATTGAATTTAAATTGCGTAGATTTAAAGATATTCAATTAAATTATATTATGATCAATTGCTACCACGAATGAATTAATGTTAAAGTACCTTACAGATTAATGAATAGCTGACGAAAACATCTGATCAGAAGGGGACATTATATTAAAGAGCCAAAACAAAATGTCGGTGGTTGGAACATGTGGCAAAGAAAGTAAGTGTGCGATTTGATTTTTTATAGCTTGAGGGAACCGTTACGTCAGCTAGACACAATTGTAAACAAATTTGAACATACACCAAAAAAAGAGATACTACATTTCTGAATAAAATATTCCTTATCGTAAAGGCAAATCTTTACATACTTAATATAATGGCAATAGAATAAAAAGACTCTCAGGTCTATTTCATTGATATAAAAAAATTTAATAAAATGTTGTGCACCAGCTAAAATTGAATGATAGAAATCTATAAATATAACTTTTCTTTATCAACAAGCTAAGTAAAAAAATACATCTTACAAATATAATTGTCCCTTTTGGGATCCATAAAAGTGACCTGGAAGGTTCTCACAAGAGTAATGGTTGTCAACACATGATACGTGCAAGATTGGAACATCGCAAAATTACTTGTCAGCCAAAATAATTTAAATTTGCCAACGGATACAAAGCTTACAAGAAATTCGCATTGTTAGATTGCTGTAGATGATGCCCGTAAACGAATCCTTCGACTCCGAAATTTGAAATAAATTTCGATAAAGCTTTAAACCTTCACCATACCATCTAACCGTCGCAAAGTTGACACCATTCTGGCCAACTTGAAATTTGCAAAAAGCAGAAGGATTGGTACTTAAATCAGGAACATTGTAAGTAATAGAAATACGGTGAAAATCTTTCGTCATTTGCGTTGACTTGACATCTGTCCCACCAGAATCTACGACTAAAGAAAAGATAACCAATTTACGCTGTTCACTTACTTCCATAAACGTGAAGATTAATACGAGCACTGTAAAGCGATGTTTGACATTGATAAATTCCAGCTTTGTCAAATGATGTCTCCGTTAATGTCAATTTGCTTTCACCATCTGCGCTGTCTATAACGACAAGTTTTGATTGCTGAACGGCTAGATAGTCTTGAGAATTAAAGCTAGCTTTCTTCCAAATCAGCTCATTCTTTTTGACATTATTTCCACGGCAAATAAATGACACAGACGCTGCAACACGAATAGCAACATCAGGTAAAGATTTTTCATTTCCATCCATATCAAGCACAGTTATTCTAAGGTTATAAGCTACAGCAATAATTAAATATTTAAATCATACATTCACATCCTATTATCATTAATAAGAAAAAAAGTGGGACTGATGTTGAAAGCCAAACCATTTCAAATCCGCGCCAACAATAATGGAAAGGGTCACAGCTACGGACTGCAGATTTCAAAAATGATAAACAAACTTGACGGACAGGAAGCTTAGACCTATCATCTATTTCTCGTAAATTTCAATACTAGACGTCCTAAAACTACATTTTTTAGCTAGCATAATTTTTTTTACAAATTAATTTCAACAAAATTGAAACAGATAATTTAAAATTGACCTTTAACATGCCGTCAAGTAATGTAAACGCTAAATGTAGAAGCGTTTTTTTCAGATTTATATGTAGGTCTAACGTTAATTGAGGCAGGAACGCAATGTATCTGCTTAGAATTTAGTGGATAAATATTAGATTCTTTTCACACCTTGTTCAGGATATCAATTCGAGATGGAATTTTTCGACTGAGTCCCAGACACATTACGGCTGCAAATTGAATACATGTAAAAGTTGCAAAAACAATACTTGTCATTTCTGCTGAAATGTTACTTCACTAGCATTAGGACAGTGATTTACGCTAATATAACGATTAAAATATTTCACACGATATCCTTAAAAAAGTGAAAGCTACAGTGCCAATTAAAATAAGAACATATATAATTCTAAATATAGTGCATACCAACTTTTAGTTGTTGATGTAATATTTGTGAAATTTATTTTAAGAAAAATAATTAATGCAACAGAAGCATGCTGTAGCAGGGCCGACATGCGTGCTAAGAAAAAAACGGACAGTAAAATTTGCATGCATTTCAGAGACTATTTATTAGTTACGAGAAAATGTTTACATGTGTAGATCAAAGATTAAAAAATTTGAATAGTTTGTCGTGTCGATAGTATAGAAATGTAAAATTTGAATAAATTTAAAGCAAATGCCTCTAAATGAGTACGGTGTACTTTTAAATACATTCATTTTCTGTGTGTTTGCGAAAAAGTTCATATAAATGATTCCGACTTAACACGTTGATCATTAGCATATCAGCTCACTAGGAAAAATGTAATAAGGTTTAGGTTAAAAGTCTCCTAATTTTCTTGTTGCAAACAATGAATTTTACTTATCTGAATTTAAAAATCGTAAAGCCGCCATAGTAATATAAATATATTATATCCACATAACCAACTAAAAACCAACTACTAACTGAAAATATGTCAAGGAAAAAATGATAATAGGGAGATGCATTCTACAAAGTTTATAATACGGAGTAAACTTCTACTGTCAAACGAGTTCAAAATAGACGTAAACGGGCCTGGGAGTGATATAGCGTTAAGCCACGGTCATCCGTCTTGACTGGAATAATCAAAATATCGACTTTTTTTTTATAAAAATCACTATTAGAGAACTGTGATTGAAAATATGATTTACAACTACAACTACAGGAGATAGCAACAATAAATGTGCTTGATAAATAGGCTTTTGTTTTTAGGGACGTATAAATTGAGACGCAAGATTTTGTCATAAAACACCAGATCTGATTATGCATGCAGACCTCTTACATTGCTACGCTACTTCATTAATAAGTTAAGTTTATTCTTCTTGCAAAAACCAGCTTTTTAAATAGCTTAATTTTTCGAGTTTGGATTGCGTTTTGATATTACGGCTTTAGGTTCTATTAAGAGGAATTATTTTCGTGTTATTATAACAATAATTTGAACTAAGCAAGGGCTTTTATCTCCATAAAATAGCTCTACATGTCTTAACTTCACTAACAATAACAGTATATTCAGACATATTTAAGTTATCGGGCACATATCAATGTTACAAAAATTCTGATGCATCCATTTTCAAAAAGATGACTGTTCAATGAAATGGTAATAATTAAGTTTAGCGAATCTTACTTTCCCAATTTAGGGGTAATTAAATTAATTACTGTTTCAGAAATGAAAATGTAAACTGTATAGTATCAACCTCAAGACTCAGGTTAGAATTTTAAGCCCCAACCAATTACATTATTCGTCACGGGCATTCACGCCAGGCGGTTATTCAAAGAACGCATTTTGACCCATTTTGGTTTTCGTCTGAGGTAAGCTTTTCGGCTCATCATTTGTCTACAGCGTTAGGGTTTTCTGCTAATAACTGACTCTGATTCCTTCTTTTTTATGATAACAATGCTTTTTCACATAAAATTAGCTAAATATCGGATTTCCCATTAGATCTGTAATACATTACTTTTGTGGTAAGCCTTTTTCGTTTTCAGGATTTCCGATATTCCCCTTGGACAGCTCCGATTGCAATAAATTTGTGACTAAATTTAAAATAAACGTTCATTACGGCTTCATGTTTACTGAATGTCTCAACGCCGTTTTTGACAATTCAACTCTAAATTGAGGGTCTTCACTGTTGAGGCTTCGCGTTCATTAATATTGATGTAACTACATCTACTTTTCATTTTACATAGATGTATGCAACCACTCGAGGCGGCCTGAGGGATTTATTGCATCCATACTACATCGTGAACATATTTCTAAGCCTTCTGTACGTCTCCACGAAGACACTGCCATTTATTTGCGATTTAATGTATGAACATTGCGAAATCGACTTTCAGGAGTACGAAATGCTCATATGTCTTGCAGCTTTTGTAACCTTGCGCAACAAAAGGCAATTTTCAATCCCCGATTACGTAGCTCACTTTTGCATGTTTGCAAAAGTTTGTAACCTCCTCATGTTCTGGAAGCAGGGCTTGACATACGCGACGGTGTATGGCGTATTCTGGTTGTTTCAAGCCTATTTTCTCTTTCAACCTGTCTACAGCGGTCCGGAGTCCGTTTATTATTTCAGGGAAGCGACGTTTGCCGAGGTATGTATTCCTTTAACATAGCCAATTTCAATATTTTTTGGGATTTTGCACTGTGGTTCTCGGTGTTTTAAGAGAAATTACCTGCTTATTCACTCTCCCAAGGTCATGGTTAATACAAAATACACTTTTTTGGTATACTTAATCAACTTAATTTATGACCTTTAATTGACGCTTGCCAAATGAAGTCAGTATAATTTGCGAGGAGTTTAAACTTGACTCTTTACAGACGGATAGCTTGTCTTGCCTTAAATTAGCTCTATTTATTAAGTTCCTTGATACGTTAGAATAGCGTCGACCAAAATTGTTCCAGGAAACTTGGCTTAATTTTAAAATTTACATAACTTGGACTTGGTTGTACTAACATTGGTTGGTGATGGTGCGTTACAGACATTTCATCAAGCCACACAAGCATGTTTCTCATAAGGCCACATAATTTCACATTATCAAAAAACAGCTTATGTTAGTGACCCTATATCGAGTCGGGTCTGGTGAACATATTTGGTAGCCTGCACAGGTCCTTTGTTAGTGTGCCTGTGTAGGTGCTAAATTTACCCGAAATGTAAAGCTTTACTGTAGAATTGCAGCCCCTATTAGCAAAAAAAATGCCCACTAGTTCACTGGGTAGAACTAGTCAAAGTATATGCATCAGTTTATGTTGGTGATGATGCTTCAAACGCACGATTTTGACACAAGATGTTTTTCTAACTTCTTGGCCCTGACAGTGTCTCAATTGTTTCGCATTTTTAGCTGAATGATACAACAAAGCTCTTTAAATTAGGTCAAAGGATTAATATCTCACTTTAGATACACATCGAAAAGTTAATTTGTGTCTGTTCCCTCGTTTCCGTATAAAATAGGCGTTCGTGTGCTCACGATCCGTCTTTTCGCGCATTAATAGTCATTTTGTGGATCATAATAAAACCCGGTTGGAGGATGATGTCCGTTTGTCAAGGTTCATTTCTGTTTGTTGCCGCCCCTGTTATTGGTTCTGCTTGAAATGCTATGTCAGCAAGCCAGAAATCACTCGTGAACCCTTACAAAATCAAAAGTGTGTTGGACCATGGGTGCATTTCGTGCCAGGGTCATAGCACGTCAATGAGTTGCCGTAGTGAACACGCTGCTTTGGCTACGGGAAAACACCCTAAGAAGTGCATGTTTGCTGCAGGGCATGTCGAGGACATCGCAAACAATCCACATCATTCCACATGTTTACATTTCAGGTCGTTGAACGCGGTGATCCCCGTGTAACTTGGATAGTCGCTTTCTACACAGTTTGGTCTCCTGCATGCAACGCACTAGCACCCATATTCTCTGAGCTCTCGCATTCCTACTCAGGTTTTTCAGGCCTACGGTTCGGTAAAGTAGACATTACACGTTGCCCCGATCTCGCGCGTCGCTTCGGCATTGACGCCTCCACGTGGTCCAAACAGATACCCACCATTATCGTCTTTCGTGGGGGAAAGGAAATCGACCGGAGACCGGGCCTTAGCGTTAAGACCAAGAAGGTGTACAAATTCAACTTTACTTGGGACAACATTATTTCTGCCTTTTCGCTTAACGATCTATATGCTCACTGCAAATCTCAAGACGCCCAGATTAAGCGCTCGAAGGAGGGATTGGATAAGGAGAAGGCCAGAATAGAAGAGAGTAAAAAAGAGAAGTGATTCAACTTGCTCCCAGTGATTGCGAATGGACATCGAGCTTTTAGCTCATGCTCTCTTGTTTATACTCCTTGAGTCATAGTCGCTATTTTACAAATGTACAGCTGTCACAGCCAATCGGCACTTCTTTAAACATGGACTTGTAAACTGTCTCCATTAGGGCAAAAATATAGTTGCTATTGTAAGTCTTCAGGGGCAGGCTTTCACATTTTTACCGAGATGTGCATTGGTCTCTATTCGATTAGTTTCGGCCCTGGTATATCAGAGTCGTAAGGTGCCGGGAAACTTATTACTGTGCTGGAATTGTAACTCATGTCACATTCATGCCGATCTTGTTCCTGGTTGCGGTTGGTATGTCGTGACAACTTAAAGATACTGTGAAAACTGCCAGGAAGTTGGGTGTTCTGTTGATGTAAACAACTGTGTCTGGTCGCGTGTGCTGTTTCGCTTCAATTTGGGTGCGAATCCAAAGGTGATAGTTTACACGATGGCCGTGATAATCCGCTGGCTCGCTGATGCCACGACATTCCAAATGTTGTGAATTCCGCAACTCGTGAAGGAAAACATTTTTCACGACCTAGCACACAGGTAGTGTCCCATTGATCTTAATATCCGATATTTTGAAGCACCACTGGGATAAAGACTGCTGAACACAGCAACACTGACCTAAGAGGGCCGGAGACTTGACGGTTATAAGATGCACAATAATGAAAAATACCGATGAAGAACGAAATCAAAGACTTGCGAAACGAATTTACATGATAGAGATATTGTAGTGAACGGGAAATCGGAAAATTGTTTAGGGAAATGCTAATGGGACGTAGAAGATGTTTTTTGAAAAGCACAAATAATTGCCGGCATGCGACACGATAGAGGATTGATGGACCTTTAGGCTAGCGGCTTGCGATGTTGAAACTGCAATCGTAATATTATCAAATGACATCCCCTCTCAAAGACTGTTTTTTTGATATTTGTTTCTTAGATGGCGACTTTGCAGCGAAGGGTTGCATGGTGCAAATGGCAACCTGAAATATCTTAGGGTTTAATTCCAAAATTGGGATTAGTTTATTCGTTGAACTGAGTTTTCGGAAATTGTCTGAAGCCGATAATTTGCAGCAATAGCGGAATATTTGGTAAAACTATCGCACGTTTCAAGTCCACTCAGCCCCACACGAATTTGGTTTGTGTTAACATCTTATGCAGACTGATCGTCTACTTTGTGGAAAAGAGTAATAATTAATCCGGATTTGTATTGAGTGCATTCACACCAATCATTAATCTGCAAACCGTCTGTCATTATTTTGCATACAGACTTTATACTGAATTTCATTATGTCAAATCTAACATTTCCATAGCCTAAACTAAGCTTGGCACAGCAACTCTCATGAAGTGAAAGGTGCGACACCGGTTCTCTCTTATCCATTCTTTCATGCTGGTAATGAAATGTCATTAGCCGAAGCCTTTTCACACTAGATGTCTGCTCTCACTGTAGCACAATAAACGGCCGAAAATCCGACATTTCTACCGTACTTCTCCCTTGGGTACATCGTGGTGTCTAGCCACAGTAATCTGGTAATCCCCAATGTACCCTTGAAACCATCCCATGTTTGCAGCCAATTTTCAAGTTTATTTTGAGATTGAGGAGGAGTGAAGTAAAAATAAGATTTATTGCTGGAAACGCCAGCAATGATAGGGAAAGTATTACAGAGGGCATTAGTGAGACAGACTGGATTCGAAGTGCGCCAACATTTTCTTTATTGCCACGCTAGAGAAGAGCGACATTAAGGAACATGACGAAAGTACATCGTGCAGATGCCGGAATGCAAAAACAGTCCAAGGTAGCTCGTATTGAACAATGGTGGTTGTAAGGGTGCGTGCACACTAAGTGGCAGATCACTGCAACAGGTAACAATCGTAGGAAGTGGTGGCTGTATTTACATACAAACATTAACAAGTTAGCCTAGCCGGCGTGCGAAACGGAACACGCAGTTTGGTTTACTGTTTATAAACCAGCACAAAAGCCCCCGTTAAAGTCTCCTTCGACGTGAGGCAGACTGAGAAAGAGCGTCGCTCTCTGATTATCGCCGTACTTAATTAGTGTCCTCTTTCAGTTTTGGCTGAAATTTATCAGGCTGGTTGCTGATATTTGGCTTAGCTTAATGACGCCCGATTGTCTTCGTTCAGAGGGTTCCCACATGAAAGACACCTTCAAAAGCTTTTAATCAAGCCGCCCTACTACCGAATTAATATAACAGGCCTTGCTAAAACAGTTAAACAGATTCTTGGACAGGTTTGATTCTTGTTTAAGACCAAAGCAGTTTGCGTTCTTAAAAAATGTCCTCCAAGGAGTGCAATGCTTTTAACAACCATTGGTCTGAAGTTGAGAAGGGATTAGACTTAAAGAAGAAAGCACTTGGATTCCTAATGCGAGAATAACGAGGGTACTCCGGTTACTTTTGATGCACGACTATTGACGCTCAGTTAAACGGTCTGATTTATGAAACGTTGGGAACGGAAACGCCAGCTTGTGATAGGAAGAAGATACGAGGAGTGACCACGAATACGAAGCGCATCCACCTAGTAACCGAGGATGTCGCCTCTTTTCAAGTCCAGGTTAACAATCACGGAATTTAAAAGGATACAGCGACTCCTGCAGTTTGGGGACCTTCGACATGACCTTGACGAGTTCTTCACATCTCGCCATCATAACGTACATGGACTGAAAGGAAACAAAAATACTCGGATAAGTGTTGACCTAAGAGCCCTCTGTTAATTATCTGTCCACCTGCAAAGATTGTTTACCTCACACCAACTAAATAAGTTCGCCATTCTTCTGGCGTGATAAGATGTTAACCAACAGAAGCTGTCGGGTCAATGCCTGGGTGGGTGAGCGCATCAAAACGTAACGCAAATCTCAGGCCATCAAAATGCCATGCGATTCGTGTCTTGTAGAAGCCTTAGCTGTATAAACCTACGAAAAGCACAGTCACGGCATTGCCACCGAAACCGGCTTTCGCAAACGATTTCCCAGAATATTAGAAAGATATTTCACTGGCTGGAGGTTAGAAAAGGCCAAGGTCAAAAAAATTGCCCAAAGCAGATAGTTAATTTAAACGGCGATAAATCTATGGAAAGAAAACGTTCAGGTTAAATGGTAATATCTTTTAGTTTTGCAAATATCTCTTCTTACAGCTCGCGAGTTCTGCTCAAGTGGCAGGAAAAGGCAAGTTTCTTTATACGGGAACACAGGACAGCCACACCAACGGAAAACAGGCGTAAGGCAAATATGCGAAACTGTGCATTTTTTGTTGAATACGTGGAATCACTCGGTAAATCAAGCTCATGTTAAAATACACAAGCCTTTATGCAAGGACTAAGGTATGTGTTTGTGCCGTTGCTAGAAGATTTTTCTACTATATTCAAGTTTCATTTTTCAACATGTCGGTACATGTCGAGAAATATTCTGTCCCCGGCCTCGCATTTTACTCCATATGCTTCGAGTCACCACTATTACCTGGCAAAAAATAACTGCTTCGTAAACTGATGATTTCGCAGGCAGTCATTATAGCTTCACTAAGAATAGAATTCCAACAACAGCAGGAAAGGGTCTTAGGAAATACCATAGAGAAAAAAGAACCACACTACACCCGCTTTAGGTATAGAGAAGTATAAACGGGAAAGGAATCTGGGAAATCGATTTTACACGAAATCTACTATAAGCCCACCTTAATGCTGGCGTCCAATTCATCGCAAGTCGAGGAAACAAGAGAGCTGTATTGACTGACAGAATTAACGGTCGAGGAGGAGATCTGAAGAATGAAGCAGTCCAATATCATGATGCCTAAATTAATTGGGTTTAAGCTAGAAGAAAATCTGGAATTTATCAAATCCCAAGTAAATAAATCTCCGCGAACTACTTCTGCGGCTATTGCTTTTAAAACAAAACGTTTCAGCCGCAACGAAACTAGGTATTTGTTCCTGGGTCAAGAGTTTAGAATGGTTACAGCAATAATGCGCAGTCAAAGAAACTAGACCCTAAGAAAGTCAATGATACTTATGCTAATCCAGCCTCAAACTAATTATTTACCCAAAATAGTTTGACTTAGCGTTGTTTGAAATTAAAAAGGTCGAAATGACTGATTATGATGAATACAGCTTCACCATGGATCGAAACGCATGCAAACCGACGAGGAACAAGGTAAAAAATTAGTCAAGTACACTGAATTAATTAAAATAAGCTTTTAATCAAAAGATACAGGTACAACGTTTAAGTAGTCTTTTGCTTGCTAAGATATTCACAACATATTTTTCTGGAAATACTTTAGTATTGCTTATTCGTGATATAGGTTCAAAAATGAAATGACATTGTGATCATGATAGTTTGGATCTTTAGCTTTAAAAATACATGCAACCTCGAGACTGTAAGCCTCAGGTACATAGTTCTACCACTTGCTTTCCGACTGTCCTGATTTAAAAGTGATAAAATTTCCTGTAATGTTAATAACATTTTCAACTCTGAAGAAGTAGCAGTTTTTACAGTACTTAGTCAGGTAAACTAAAGCGCCTTTGGGTCGTGTACGAGACATCGGATAATATTGATTCGAAGAAAGGTGCAGCTGGTTATTTAGGGGTGCGGCGATCCTTCTGATTACCGGTGTACATTTCTTCTACGTTCGAATAATCCCCTTTGGGATTTCTACTTAGTGGTAGACGAGGTCAACTCGACACAAAATGGTGAAGTCCCATTAGCATAATTTCACCTCGGTCGATGAGTGTTTTTAACTTAAGGGCAAACCTAATAGGTGTGTAGTAGTGATCGAGTTGAGCATCTGGAATTTTAGGCTCGAATGAGTTTCGACCTAGGACGTACGCAAGCAGGTAAGCTGTCCGGCCTAAAAATTTGGATCACATGAATATATTTAGTCAAAAGCCACAGATACAAAAGTGAAATCGGCGAGTGACTAAAACTGATCGCACTAAACAAAAGAGGAAAAACCATGGCATTCGGGGTGACAGAGAATAATCATCCATAAGCTCGGAACACTCTACCCTCGACATACGGAATAAGCAGGCCGCTGAATTTGGAATTTGTCATTCAATTGTAACCGTAAGTTCTTGTGGGTAATAAATCCACAGGTCTCACTTTACGCCAAGCAGTGTACTCCTTTAATGCTTGCAAAACTCGCGTAATATGTCTGGCATCAATCTAATTACATCACCTTTTAAGTTATTAAGAGTCCAACAATTAGCATTTTACCGAAACGGCTTTAACGACAAAAGTAGCTTCTGACATTTTCGGTAAGTTCGGGTGGGATATCGAACCCACGGCCTGTTGCAACAGAAGCAAAGACTATGCCACACATTTTGACTGACATATGAAAAAAATATCTTAACATACTTCAATGAAACCTATGAGTATGTGCTATGAAGGGTCCTATCCAGAAACTAAGACCACGGGCAGCAAATGGCTATGAATATTTACAGATGTCGAAAAATCTATCAAGTTCTTTTCCAAGGCAAAGTTAAAATATAAAGAGTACGTGAATATGAATGCATAATTAACTGAAGTTGAACGCACTCTGTGAAGGCCTGATTGCAAAGTTTCTAACAACAAAGTTGCCTCAGCATCAAGGTTCTTGGCACACGTTTCTATTTCGTTTAGTGACTCGATATTCGCTGCAGTACTACGTAGAGTAAAAGGATAATAAAAACAATGATACCTCTGAGATCGAGATAACCGACTTGATTCAGAGGCCTCAGCCATATCTAAAATACTAAATGAGAAATTGGCCTGCAGTCCATAGTAACTCGTAAGTCATTTGCTTACGGTTAATTGTAAAATGAGTGCTTAGTTCTAGATAACAGTTACGAAGAATACTAAATGTTGATTTGTAGACATTAAGTCCAAAAGAAGAAAATAAATGATTGAAAATTGTGGAAAGATGAACTAGTTTAGAACGCAGTGTTCTCGAAGAAAACTACATACAAGGGCCAACCTAGTTTACTTGTACGATTAAAATCAATTATACGAAAAATATTCGAGCGACATACAGGTGAGGAGTTTGCACATATAGAGCAAAGATGAAGGTACATAAAGACCTCAAATATTACATTTGTGCTGTAGTGTGTTGTTTGGTGTGGCGTCGGATCAGGGCGCAGACATGTTGGACCACCTGGCCTCAGCCAATCCCGTGTCTCTCTGCAATCCAATGGCATGCGGGAAAGGAAGGCAGCCAACCAGAGAAGGACATGGATGAGATGCAATATATAATGAGCGGCGTGGCCACCGAGGTGGACTCGGATGGAAGGCGCCTGACGCGTGTATCTGGCTTCTGATTGGTCAATAAAGCCTGTTCTGTTGTACCGGTCTTTTACCTACTAGGGCTCGGGTATTCTACATTGGCGACGGATTAGGGCGCAGACATTTTGGACCATCTGGCCTCAGCCCGTCGTAAGTCTCTCT